TACCCCGTTTTTAAAAAAAAGTAGAAAAGAAGAAAAATAGAAAAAGAAAAGGACCAGAATGCATAGAAAAAGGACCAGAGCGCATGGAAACGGTCAACCTTTGCCTTTGCCCCACCTACCCTCTCCATGCCAAGTGGGTTCCATACTCATCTCAAGTCAACCAGAAGCAGTTACATTGGTGTTAAACCGGAGTATATATGCTCCATAATGTTAATTCTTACACAAAATAAATAGTGCTCAATACCCATAACCAAACATTCCCAAAAAACTTAATGGACATCCCTGGATGCAGCAGCAAAGGACCAAAAGGTCATCATAACTTCCAACTCAACCCTTCAAATATTGAATACCTTCGGACCGATGATGCACGCAAAGTTTTGGCTGACAGGATATTCAACAAATGGTCACTCCAGTTGTAGCTGACTTTGTGGGACACTGGGATAAAAGCGGCTATTCTTACAATATTGAATGGGTATATTTGGATCCTAGCCACCTAAAATCAAAATTTTCCTTCTGCTACAAGGAGTTTCAGGGCTCACCTTTAGAAGAGTGTTTTGCACCCAATTGACCATAAGTATCTCATCAAATTAGAAGTTCAGTTTTTTTCAGGTTAAACACTTCATTGAGTGTTCATAACCTCCCACCATTCCCCACCCCCAAAACAAGGGAGAGGAAGTGAAATAAAAGAAATACTTGCCTAATACTGTAAAGGAAAATAGAGAAATTCTAATTTTATAATCAGCTCTAAAACTTGTAGACCATTATATCAATATATCACTCCCCCCAGAAAATAATGACAACATCTTCAGATAATGCCCTTATCATAATGATATATGTTTTCTAGTAGCAACTGAGTGGTAGATATGTAAATCCAAGCACTTCTCTTTTCATTTTTTATTTTGCGATAAGTCACACAAATCTGAACATTTCAAGCTGAAAACGATGTATTCCATAACAATCCAGAACAAAAAACATTATTTGAAATGTCTAGTGTAGGAAATGTGCTAGCTATCCACCAATGAAATATAAATGCAAAGTAGATAGTGGAACGGAAAAACAGAGGATCGGATACCTTATTCTTCTTCTCGAGACCTCCAATTACCCTGTCTATTGCTGACTCAAAATGTTGCATTGTAATTATTGTACTCTCATTTCTTGCGGCAATTAAAGCAGCTTCATTACAAACATTTGCAATGTCTGCTCCGGCAAATCCTGGTGTTAGAGCAGCAAGCCTCTGTGAATAAAAGGCTGCGTCGTGGTCAAGTTTCAACTTGCTCAAGTAGATCCGGAATATCTGATCACGGCCTTTTATGTCTGGTTTATCTATGGTAATTTGACGATCAAATCGACCGGGTCTTAACAAGGCTTTGTCTAATATATCAGGTCTATTTGTGCCAGCAAGTACAACCACACCTGATGTGGTTGCAAAGCCGTCCATTTCAACAAGCAGTTGATTTAAAGTGCTTTCACGTTCATCATGTCCTCCAGAAAAGCCACCCCGCCCTCTTGCTCGACCAATGGCATCAATCTCATCAATGAAAATTATACTAGGTGCACACTGTCGTGCCTCCTGAAATAAGCTCCTAACTCTGGCTGGTCCAACACCAACAAACATCTCCATAAAATCTGACCCAGAAATAGAGAGAAAAGGTACACCAGACTCTCCAGCTGTAGCTTTGGCAAGAAGTGTCTTTCCAGTCCCAGGAGGACCCACTAGAAGAGCACCCTTGGGTATTTTGGCTCCCAACTGCTCATATTTCTTTGGGTTTTTAAGGAAGTGGACAAACTCCATGATTTCTTGCTTTGCCTCGTCACATCCAGCCACATCTTTGAAGAAGACCTGTACCAAAACATGTCAACAGACTTTCCAAGAATTAATCATGATATACCATGACATGAAACATCTTCAAATCTAGCTTTTAAAAACACTACGAATACTTCTGAATCTGCACCCAAGTCAGACACTAATGCATGGCTAGAAACTAGGACTCACCTTATTCTTGGCATTTTTATCCATTTTCGTGAAATGTGCTTTACCAATGTTAAATATTCCACGAGCACCTTTTCCACCAGGGCCTCCAACACCTATTCCGCCCTGCACTCTTCGTCCCATAAAATAAAGGACAGCAAGAATCAACACTGTTGGACCAAACCTCATCACTTCTTGGAACCAATTCAACTCATCAACATACGTAACAGGAACATAATTATGAGGATCTATTCCTAATGCTTCCTGTGCTTCTTCAAGCTTCTCCTCGAATGACTCAACACTCCCGATGTTAAAATAATACTTGTAGTGGCTTGCATTTCTTGTACCATTTCTACCAGTTGCAGGACCTTGAATAGTGTCATCACCAATTTGAATAGGACCGGGTGCAGAGCTCCTCACATAAACTTTGGCCACAGATTTGTTAGAAACAACAATTCTATCAACAAGACCAGCTTCAAGTAGCCTGTTTTTGAACTCTTGGAAGCTAATCTGAAAATTTACATTTACAAAGTCACCATAAGATGATCAGAAAGAAAATTACAGAAGACAATCAATCACTGAAGATAACAGAACTGCCCCTCGATTATATTAGAACCTGTTTTACTCACCAATCATCAGTTAAACGATGAAACATTTAGAAAAAGTCACATCGTTTCAATTATTCACAGATACATAGCAGAAATTCTTCCTCAATAGTATATGTTTAAGCAAGAACAAAATATCGGCAAAAGTAGAGGCAAATGGTTGTGTGACGTAGAATGAGCACTGAGATACAGTCTGATTTTCCATGTTCATGCAACAAGTAGGCAATTTACTAGCTAGTGGAACACATGGCCACTATCTCATGTCTAAACTTGTCATCAATAGGATAATAGAAATGGTGAATTTCTTGTTCTGACATGAGCTGTAAACTCTACTCCAGGCAACGATAAACCGAATTTTGGATTTGTAAAAAACAGGTAATACTAACTAGTAACACAAAGCCGGTGTATCATATAAGAACCTAAGTCTTTATATTACCATAAAGGCCATATTCATAGGAAAACATTATCAAGTCTTCCATAACTGTTAATTTTCCTTCGAATAACAAAGGAAAAAAGTTTACATTGTGGACTGGAAAAATGTTGTCTTTTTAACGGGCTAGACCAGAAAAACAGTATCATATGAGGAAAAGGCGACAATCTCCATCAGATCAGTAGAACTATAAAAGCTCTAGCATATCAAAGATGGTCCCATGAGTAAATCCCCAATATAACGCAAATGATATGATCTCTTGAAGAACATAGTAGCAGTAAGGCGGGGTAGAACTAGAGGCCTAAATCCAAAGCTTAATAAAAGGCCTTAAACTTTTTTAATAAAATTCATGTATTAATGAGATAAAAGATTTGTTCTCTAATTTAGATTAACCAAACAGGACAAAGCAAAATATCTGATTTAGGAAAACTTAGTTGAAATTGGAAAGTAAATAGTCAAAATAGGAAAGTGAATGAATATACGCAGAGGAAGAGAAAAACGCAATCAAAAGGAGGCAAACGTACTAATTAATGAGAGGTGAAGAATTTTACAGCATCTACCCTGCCGAAACAGCCTCAAAAAAATCCTAAAAAGCAATATAAATTTGAAATCTTTAATAAATAATAGTTAATAAATTATATTATAATATTTTTTTGGTAATTAATTACTCCCTCCGTTCCAATTTATGTGAACCTGTTTGACTGGGCACGGAGTTTAAGAAAAAATGAAGACTTT